CTGCCTTTAAAGGCAGAGTAAGTGATTTCTGGTAGCCAATGTTGATATTTGAAAACACCAAAACAAACACGGCCCTACCCCAAAAGGGTCTTGCCCCTATTTTGATAGCTCCGCCCCACATATACGTACGCAACCCAGGCAACGATTAGTTCTGTGAAACAAAGCAAAACCAATGTTACACGTGTCTAAATCGGACGTGAGCGGCGCGGCGCAACAAATCCCGACAGAAAACTGCTGCCGGGTTCTATTTATGACGTGCTGACACAAATTTCAAATGGTTTTCAACGGTCGTTTGACCTCTTTCTCGCGTCCAGTGTAGGCAGACTTTAGTTGTTGTAGACACGGTGTTACTCACCTATTGAGAAGAAACAAAGCAACCTCGGCGTCCGATCGCAGGCCTCCGCTCCTTGAGTTCTCTCCAGCACTGGAAAGCTGATCCAATATTTTACACGGGTCCTACTTCTTGCCTTATCTTTCCGCAGACGTTTTCCTCTTTTGTTTTTTATCCGCCATCTCCATCTTTCTGTCGCTCGGCTCGCTAATGTCCGTCCCATGCACTGAACGCGCTCTCCTCCACATCACGAGTAGACACGCCCCTTATTGCTGATTGGCTACAAGTTTGTTTTGCGATTCGGCCCGAATCAGTTTTCTAAAGTGTTTTTGAAAAATCACATACCCTGCCTTTAATGTCCTTATTAGAAGAATAAAATACTTTTTTCCCCCCTCTTTCTCTAGTTTTCCAATTTTTTTTACCCCCAATTAAAAAAAAAAGAACGAACCCTATACTAAAAACACTGACAAGCAAGACAAACATTTACTTTAAAAAATTTTATGAAAATACCAATGTGAGGAAAATTGAGATACAAAATTTTATCAATGGTAATATTATAAAAAGTATAAAAAAAGAAAGTGCACAAAAACTTCTTTACAGCATTAATTGTACAGACAGCTTTGAATAAATAGCATAAGTTAAAAATTACAAATTAACTTAATGAAATGATCAGCTAAATCTCTGGTAAGGCACATTGACTGAGAATGTGCCACACTAATAGTTAAAAACATTTTTCCCTGAAATTTATCAACATCTTGTATTTGCTCTCATGCATTTTAAGAAGAGCTTGAAGTCAACAGTAATGCTGACGCAAAGAATTGCTGGTGAATAAAAACAAACATTCATTCAAATAATACACCGAAATCTTGAACCTCCAAATCCAATTGCAAACTCCATATAATATTGCTAAACTTTTTTTCCCTCAAAAAGGCAATTCTGTCATATTTCAATTAATCCAAACAGCAAAGAAAGAAAAAAACATACAAAAGGCTGCAGTCAATACATCAAGGCTGAAAGACTGTACAATTTCATCTTCGATTACCTTTAGTGTACAATATAGAAAAATGTGGTTAAAAACACAGTGTAAAGCCAGGTCGGAAATTCATCAATCAGTAATATCTTACTTTCAGTATTATAACACTCTCATACAACAACAATAAAATAAAACACTAACACCACCAACAGCCACAAAACTGATTATGCCTACAAATACATTATGCATGCTTTCATATGCCATTGTGTAAATGATAACCGTTTAAATACTCTTGAGATAATGTGTTTTTGCATCTTGGTTTTAAAAAGATTTACAAACCCGTAACCATTTTTTAAATACTGAGCAACATCTTTATGCCAAACCAAGAAAGAAAAAGAGATTTTACAAGCACATGTCCATATTATAGACCACAGTTGAGGTGAATTCACATTGTGAATATTGTGCTCAAGAATCCTAGTCAGAAAATGCATGTGTGTGATATAACAGACCACAGTTGAACTTGAATCAGAGCAGAAGACGGCAAGGCTGAGTAAAATATTATATTGGTTTAAAAGTACACCCATCTCATTAATGCCTTGGCTATAATGTTAGTTACAGCACTTTACATTATTCATCTGTAACCCGTCAAACTAAATGCCAAATAGAAGTCTTTTGGTGCACTCGTATGGAAAATAAGATTATTTACAAAACACTGGTAACTCCAAAGTAATTACAGTAATAATGAAAAATGGATTACATTTAATTTCCTAACTCAGACCTATAAATATGTCCTAATGCCCAATTTTTCTCATTTTCTGTTATATATAAAAAATAAAAAAAAAGGTACAAAACTTACATTTTACAAGAGTCATAAAAAATACAAAAGCAAGTGGAAAACTGAACTCATACACAGTAATCTAACAAAGGGAAGATACCAGAGTCTACCACTGGAGACAAAGCTATGAGGGCCTCAACGAGACAGTTTGTAGGGTGTTTTAGTTGGATCACCATGCCTCCTTCATGTCCTCTGGAAGAGGGGAAGGATGTGTTTGTGAGATCTGAGAGTCCGGGGAGGATGCCAGAGCTGGGCGCTTCTTGTTACAGCAGGGCTTGAAGAGACGAGGATCAATGATCACCTCACCGAAACGCCCCTTGTAGACGATCCCACAGCACACCTTTTGCCTGAGGCATATTAAGTACAGTGTTATTTATTTGTCAGCTCAACAACTAGCAGGTAACTCTTAATTTAGCATTAGTAAAAAGGAAAGGAATACCTCTTCCAGTAGGACAGGTCGAGAAAGGAGAACCCCGATGGGTTTGGACGCCTCTGCTTGGTCTCGATGTCCGACCCGTCGTCAGACTGATTACTGTGGCTGGGAGACTGAGAGGGAGACATACTGGATGTGGTGCTGTGGGCATCTGAATCTGTAAAGACATGACAGCAAACATTAACATGCTATCTGCAAAAGCTGTAAGATGTATTTTTTCCACTTCCAAAAACTGTTAATTTAACATTATTTTACTGTAAAATTACAGGAAAGATTTCAGTTTTTCACTGAGTATTATGAAACTTACCATTAACTAATTAACAGGGTTTTACCATAGCATTGTTACAGTCTGTATGTGTTTTTGTCTTTTGTTAATTTTTACTATTATTTTAGTACTTCATACTAAAGTAACCGAAAATGAGCTGCAACTGAAATATAAAATATAATAAACCTATAAAAATACAAAACATATTTATGTGCGCATACATTTTTATTTTTGTAAGTTAATTCTATTTTATACTTTAGTTGCATCTCATTTTCGTTTATTTTAAAACAAAGTACTAAAATAATTTTTTTAAAAAAGAACAAATTTAAAGAAAATGAATAATAAAAAAAAATAAATTACAAAAACACCCAATAAAATTACTAAAAAAACTTTTAAATTAAAGTGCACATGCAGTGTTAAAAAAATAAAATAAAAAATCTGTTTCACAAAAGTGAAACTCACTTTGTCTTTTGAATTTATGAAGCTTTTTCAGTTTACTTTTCTTCTTTCCATCAATATTTTTAACTTTCTTGGGTTTGGTCAGCTTGAAGCCAGGTCCTGCCCTTGCATCCACCACCTTGGGGGAAAACAATAAATAAAATAGTATATTATTCTCACATTGGCTGTAAGGAAATGGATGAATCTATTAAAAACAACATAATGGTCTCTTACATGGTTCCAGTTTTTCTTTGATCCCTGTGGTAATTTCTTCCAGCGTTTTATGAACAGCAGCATGTGTTTACTCAAATAGTTTATTTGGAAAATCCTAGAAATTATAATAATGGATTTTGTACAATAATTGGGAACCAATATTGAACAGGAATTTCATCTGTCCTAGTGGATAATACCATTTTTTTTCTAGTTTTCAAATCCTATTTGATTATTGAATTATTTACAATCGGTTGCATTCGTTTCAAATTATAATAAGAAATCCTTTAGGAATTTTGACCAGAGGTGATGCTGTCACAGCAGAAGCAGTTGTGAAATCGAAAGTGCAATTAAACGGGCGCCTCTTCTTAGAGTTTTCGGTATGACATTATTTGATTCTAAGAGGATTCTCAGTTGATCTCATTAGGACCGGCTCCAAATTTTGACAGAAATTCCACTAGCATTCCTCATGGAATTTTTGGAATACAAGCGGCATCAAAGGAAAACAGAACACTTACCCGAAGCAGAGTCTGAAGTTTTCCTCGTATCTGCTGCTGTCCGTGAACCGAGAACTGGACGACTTGGTTTTGCTTTTTTTCTAGTTTTCAAATCCTATTTGATTATTTTATTATTTACAATCGGTTGCATTCGTTTCAAATTATAATAAGAAATCCTTTAGGAATTTTGACCAGAGGTGATGCTGTCACAGCAGAAGCAGTTGTGAAATCGAAAGTGCAATTAAACGGGCGCCTCTTCTTAGAGTTTAAGACACGGAAAAGCCAAAACGCATATTTGGAATACAAATATTAAGGTAATAATACTTTTAAAAACGCCTCTCAGACGACATGTGTTACGTACAACATAACGCACACTGCGCGCTTGATGCATCAATGCAAACGCGTGAACGTCTGAAAACCACATCAAACATGCCACGAGCCACTCATTCACGAAGACTCCATACATTACAAAATAATTACTCAGTCTTATTTGACACACGGTGTGTTCTGGTTTATTTTTCATTAACGTTAGTTCATTCGCAGCACGTTTGCATCTACGTTATGGAAACCAAAAGGAAAAGGGTAACGTTACGCGAAGAACTGTCGTAAATTAACATTTACGTGGGTTCTTCAATCAAATGTTCGCGAAGCTGCTTCTAAACCACGCATGAATGATATTTCAGTTAAAATACGGATTGAACGCTACCGTCTCGTCCGTCTAAACTTTCACACAGTGCGAGAGCGCCAAAACGCGCGTCCCATTAACAATAACAGCTAGCCCGTTAGCACGCGACCATGCCACGCTCCACATCCAAGCGCGCAAAGCCCCATTGTTGATGTAAATAACCGAGCTGTAAAACCACTAACACCGCACATACAACATGTTACACGCTCCAAGACTGACAGTACGTACAATTAAAACGAAGTGCTACATTCGTACTGTTAGTTCGTAACAATAACAAAGGACTTACCGTCAGAAACTTTGAATTCCGTCCGTTTTACTCGTCTGCACTGCGCATGCCTTACTACGGCCACACACACATACACAGATGAATGGTGGGGGCGGGGCCTGCGTACAAACATTGAGTGAAAGGGGTTTGTCGGAGGAAGGCCATATAAGGAGTGTAGACGCCAAGTTAAACATTATTTCAGCCAATCACTGCACTCCGCTCTTTTGCCATTTAAGAATGTTGCATCCGGGGAAGTACAGAAGCGTCCCGTCCAGTAGCCCCTCACTGCAGAACACAAGATCCAGGGGGCGTGGTTGGATCCATCTAAGGGGTGGAGATTGGTAGGTTTAGGGGTGGAGATGGGTGGGTGGAGAGTGAGACGGTAGTTAGATCTGGATCCAACCACGCCCCCTGGATCTTGTGTTCTGCAGCGAGGACCATCTCGTCCCGTCCCGCATGTATTGTTCTTCTTGTTCTGGTTTGAATGTGAGTGAATGGACTCGTTTTCCCACAATATTGTCGCTCGAATGCTTGAAATACGCTACTGTATCTTTTATATTAGCTTATATTGTATGATATTTAATGATCGAACACGCCTAAATGTGATGTTTCTGATAATGTTCTTTTATTATGATTGACTCGCAGTCGCCTTTTTGTAAGCGGTATTAATATACTGTATATTTAGTTAAATAATACACTTTCTATATGCGATATTAGTCTTAAAATGGGCACTTAACACATAAAATGTCCACGAACTTTGAACATCATTCTTATTTTAAAAATATTTTTTAAATTCCACATTGCTACAGTTCAAGTTGCTTAAACAGAAAGTAATACGTTTAAGGTCCAGCAATAAGAGATCTGAAACGTATATGAATATTTAAGTCTATTTAGTTTGCACCCAATGTTTCCTTATTTTCAATCCCCTTTTTGCTTTCACTCGTTCCTTTTAAAACGGTGTTATTACATAAATTTTATATATATATAATCTCTTAATATGGCTATTAAACAATAAAGCTTGATGCATAATAGGAGCAAAATGCTGTTTAAACTAGTCATTAGACATGCAAGTATTTAATTTAAAACACTCATATAAAATGTAACTGATTGCACTGCACTGCAAAAAACAGATTTTGCTCTTGAAAGTCGAGACTTCATAATCATATTGAATTGCCACCTTTAATACATTTTATACACTGTACACAGTTGTTCAATATTTAACACTACATTACACTGCTTTGTCTATAAATGTATCAAGAGATAAAACACAAGAAAAAATAACTCCCAGAATGCTCATGCCAGCTGTGTTTGGACAGGTACTAGAATAGTCATGATGAAATTGGCACATGAATATCAGCCTTTAATGTGCTTCTCCCAGTTATGTCCTACAAATTATGCTACACTCTAAAACAGGTGAATGATATTTCATCAATATTCAATAACAAAATTTTGGAGCTGTAAATATTGCATAGCAGAAACAGAGGGGATGCTGGGGTTTAACTAAGGAGAGGGACACAAACACAGCAACTGTGCTGCAATTTAATTCTACTTCAGATGGCATTGTAGTTGGCCACAGTCGAGACCTGAGGGCTGAAGAGATGGGGAATGTTACGGTACTTTGAAAGGATTAGGTGAAACGTTAATGTTATCCTTTCTGCATTGATTGTTTTTAGTTTTTACAGTCCATCTCGTAAAATATGCTTGAGCATCACTTTCATTTGATTTTAGGGGATCACAATAAGCTCAAGAAGACAGTTCACCCATTTCCTGTGTGGAAAGCAAAAGGAGATATTTAGACAAAAGTCCAAGCTGCTCTTTTCCCATTTATTGAAAGAAGACAGGACAAGAAACATTTGTGGCCACCATTCATATGGGGAAGGGAAAAAAAAGAGAAAAAAGTGGGTTTGGAATGGCATGAGGATGAGTAAATGATAAGTTTGGAATAATTACATTTTTTAATGTTTTTGAACATTATTACTTCAGTCTTCAGTGTCATATGATTCTTCAGAAATCTTTCTAATATGCTGATTTAGTGCTCAGTTATTATCAAGTATTATTAGTGCTCAATTATTAAAAATGGTTCTTATTATTATCTGTTGGAAACATTTTTGCTGCTTAATATTTTTGTGGAAACCTGTTTTACAGGATTTTATGATGAATAGAAAGTTCAAAAGAACAGCATTTATTTGAAATAGATTCTTTTGTAACATAAATGTCTTTACAGTCACTTTTGATCAATTTAATGCATATGTGCTGAATAAAACTATATATATATATATATATATATATAAATCAATAATTCATAAATGAGCAAAACATTTGCATATTAGAATTTCTGAAGGATCATGTGACACTGACTGAAAACTGAAGTAATGACTTGCTGCTGAAAATTCAGCTTTGAACAGGAATAAATTACAGGAATAAATTATTATTAATATTATCATTTTTTTAATATATTCAAGTAGCCTTGATGAGCATAAGAGATCTCTTTCAAAAAAATCTTAAGTAGTTTAAACTTTTGAACGGTAGTGTAATTTTTGGGTGAACTGTCCCTTTAAACTGATTTGCATTTAGAGGGAAATGACACAAGTCCCTGGCATTGTTACAAAAAAGAGTCTTTTTCCATTTTTCTCATCTTTCCTATCTTTTTTTTTTAAGTAAAAATATGAATTCCCCACAAGTTGTACTTATAAAGCATACTTCTAAATCATTTGCTTCGAACTCTGCATTGTGACAGTATGGATTAGATTAGAGCAACAGAGCAAGCAGCATGACACATATCAAAATAACACTGTTCTTCTTTGAAAATATAATAACAGCTTTTCTTACATGTTTTCCTTTTAAATATAGCCATTGTCAGCAGTCCACAACAACAACAACGAAAAATATTGAGCTTTTAATAAAACGGTATAGCACAGGTGGGGGTTTTCGCCTTTTGTGAAAAGTATGGATCAAAATAAAAGACATATTTGAATGTCAGTAACGTTGTTGATAAAAATTATGACACGTCTGAAAAGGCTCATTGCACTTAATATATGGCAAACATGACAGTAGCTTTAACGTAAGCCAGGTTTAGTCCTTTTGTTCAAGTCTCTCCATATAAAAAAAGTTAGTCCATGGTCCCGCTGATCTGTGTGTTAGTTCTATATTCAGACGGCATTATATCCCGATCCCTTTGACGAGAGAGGCCTCCAGAGTGATATTGAATTCCTGCAGAGTCTGTAGCACTCGAATCAGAGAGTTCACCAGAGAATGGTCCTTTAAGAGCGCCATGTCCTCGTACATCTGTGCTGTAATTGGACACTCGGCAAGAAGTGCGATCCAGTGGTGCAGCAGGTGATCTCTGCAAGCAGAAAGACAAGATGGATGTCAACATATGTGACCCTGGAGCACAAAACCAGTCTTAAGTCGCTTGGGTATATTTTGAGCAATAGCCAAAAAAACATTGTATGGGTCAAAATTATCGATTTTTCTTTTATGCCAAAAATCATTAGGATATTAAGTAAAGATCATGTTCCATGAAGATATTTTGTAAATTTCCTACTGTAAATATATCAAAACTTAATTTTTGATTAGTAATATGCATTGCTAAGAACTTAATTTGGACAACTTTAAAGGCGATTTTCTCAGTATTTAGATTTTTTTGCACCCTCAGATTCCAGATTTTCAAATAGTTGTATCTCGGTCAAAAATTTTTGTCCTATCCTATGAAACCATACATCAATGGAAGCTTATTTATTCATGATGTATAGATTTCAATTTTAAAAAATTGACCCTTATGACTGGTTTTGTTGTCCATGGTCACATATGTGACCGATAGATATGACAAAAGAGTAAAAAAAATAAAAAAAAAGGATTCTCCAATGCATCACGATTCTCTTTTCAATAATTTAGAAAAAAATCTTAATCAGTTCTGAGGTTAGTTTTTTCCATATATATATACGATGGAATTGTGCACTAGAGACAATCATATTCTGCTTACTGCCATTTACACACAAACAAACACACAAAACCATCAAACAAGTATATCAAATTGCGTAAGGATTCATGTTTGAAGCGAAACACAAGGGCAACTGTATTCAAGTCAGTAAACTCATTAATTAATAAGAAAAATGTAGATCAAGGATCATTTTAGAATCAGATTGTGATTTCTAGAGATCCCCAAAAATGTTGGTTCTCAAAACTCAATTCTAATAGCCAACAGTTCAATGTAAATAATGACCAACCTGGCTCCGAGACACACAAGCATCTGAAACTTCCCGTCTTTGCCAATGTTTCTGGGTGTGCTGTTGATGGCGCGCATGAAATGACAGAAATGACGCACTCTCATTTGCCAGTTCTCATCCTGGGTCATCTGACTCCGTTCTGTACTCTCAAAGTAGACCTGCGCTTTTTCTGTGGAATAGATATGAGAGGATTTAGAAAAATGGGCAACATTTTGAGGTATCATGCATGTTCCTGAAAAGATTTAGGCTTGAACAAACTCCTAGTCTCCACTTCAAACTACGAACCGCCCATAGTTTTTGCACTAACCGTCTGATGCACTTTCTCAGTGTACTAAGATTAAATCTGATTGGCTGTTTTTACAGAACCTCTTAGAGTAAGGGCACACAGCTGTTTTTAATCAGTCTGGAAACACATTATGTTTCAGTGAGCCCTTTTGAAAATACACTTCGAAATACACTAATTTTTGTAAGCTTTTATTAAAATGAGCTTTTTCCACACTAGTGTGGTATACAAAGTTTGGAATAACTGATACTTTTCAGTGTTTTTGAAAAAAGTCTTTTATGCTCACCAAGGTTGGATTTATTTGAAATTCAAAAATACAGTAACAACTATGGAAGCCCGTATCCAGATTTTTTAAAAATGCATAAATTAATATGACTTTTTATCTCACAATTCTGACTTTTTTCTCATAATTCTAAGTTTATATCTCACTGGTGTTGTTTTTTTCCCCCCACCATGAAATAAAAAATAATTGTGACTTTTATCACACAATTCTGAGTTTTTTCAGGCGATTGCGAGTTTATATGTCACAATATGGACTGTTCTTCTTAGAACTGCAAGTTTATATCTTGCAATATGACTTTTTTTTCCTCAGAATTGCAAGTTTAAAAAAGTCAGTGCTGTGAGAAAAAAATGTCAGAATTGTGAGAAAAAGTTGCAATTATCTTTTTATTTTTTTATCCCATGGAGGAAACAAGCTTCCATAAAAAACAGTAATATTGTGAAATATTATTACAATTTGAAATAAATGTTTTCTATTTTAATTTATTATAAAATGTAATTTATTCTTGTGATGGCAAAGCTGAATTTTTAGCACATGATCTTACAGAAATCATTCTAATACATGCCAGTCAAGCTGCTCTTCCTGTCTTAAGTGGGCAGTTCTTGACCAAAATATGCTAGTTAGAACAATACTATGAGCAATTAACAAACACACTTTTACTAATAAGAAGAAAAAAAAAATTTATGGAATGTAACCGCATTTGTTACCTAGAAAGTCCCAAATGAAGACGTTCTTGAAAAGGCGAGGAGACTTGAAGCCATGCTGGAACACCTGCTCTAGAGCCCATACCAAACCGTACTCTCCACACAGAAGCAATGTGAGGCTTCCTCTCTACAACAGAAGAATGAAGAAAGATCATCCAATATGTGCCGTTTCCATTCACATTTGTCCTTTCCGCTGCAATGTTTCACTGAAAAAAAAAATACTTTACCTCTTTTTCTGGCTTATGGAAGTGTTTGACGATGCCGTTAATGGCCTCTCCCACCCCTTCCTGGATCTGGCCCGTGTTTAACTCTAGTGGGCACACAACGGTAAACGTGCTTGAGACAACAGCAATATTCTCCAGCAATAAGTGCAGTTATAAAATCTATGAGATATGACTTTTGACTTTTATGAGATTTCCAAGTACGTACTTGGTTTGCTGTTTGGCGAAATGGTGACAAATCTTCGCATCATCCCAGGGGATTGCTGCATTGGAGGAGTCCGGCACATTCTGTCCTCAGTCTCCGTGTTAGTTACCAATTCGCCCACCAGTATCCTTTCCAAGCTGCCATCATCTACTCCTTTCCCGAGCCAACGGCCGCATGGAAACCTACGTTCTTTTTAGCAGCATCATATGACCCCTTTAAGGGGACAAGGGTTAAAAACGTTTTTATAATAAAAATGTATTATATAATACAAAATTATTATAATAACTATTATAATATAAAAATATATAATTTACATTTCACTGCTGGCTATACATTCTCTATATAATTGTACGTGACAAACAAAAATCTTGAATCTTTAAACTTGTTTGTTGTTGAAATTTAAACATTTAAACAATGAATGTCTTAATTGTTTTCAAGGCAGATTTAATCAAACATACACTGAAAAACAGGTTAATTAAAAATATAATGAATATGTAACATATTCAGCAAAATGCTCCTTTCTAGAGTTCATTTTTCTAGCTAACTATTGAGTTTATGGTCACTAAATGGCCAAAACACAATTTATTGTTTGAATTTTGTAATAAAATCGACAGAATTTGAAAGCTGAGACTTTGTTTCATATCAAAACTAACAAAGCACAATGCTCATTGCGATTTACTGGATGGGAGGCACGCTAAAAATAATGTTTCAGTAAGTTTTGTTCACGCATCAATTGAAGACAGCACAGATTGGTTCATTTAGTCCGGACCAAAAAGGAAAATTATACATTTGGTCCTGGTCCGCTTAGCGTTCACATTGGCATTTATGACAGCGAACCAAACATGCCAAGTGTGAATGCACCCTAAGAATCATTATCTGTTAATCAAAATGAGAATCTATTAAAATTAAGAAATAGTCTCCGTGTTAGTCACCAATTCGCCCACCAGTATCCTTTCCAAGCTGCCATCATCTACTCCTTTCCCGAGCCAACGGCCGCATGGAAACCTACACAACAACAGTCCGGCAGTCAGTTAGGGGTTCTAATAATGAATAATGTGATTATGGTGCTACTTAAATCTTAGTACTCACTTGTAGGTGTGTCCTGTGATCCCATTGCGGACCATTACACACTCTACTAGCCACTTAGCATACAGTCCTGAGTTATCATGGCCCATCTGTACTGTGGTCAGCTTCCCCAGGTTCTGGCACTGTGCAAAGTACAGACAGAATTAATCAACAAACCTCGACCAAACAGATTCCAAACAGAAACTTGGTGACTTTTATGGCACTTGGTATGTGAACACAAAAATAAATTGAAGGCATGATTCGAAAAAGCTAAGTGGTCGTAAAAAAATAGTCACACTCATGGTCTTCGGTCAAAAATGACCGACCATAGGAAATGAATGGGAAATGGGGGGAAAAAAATCGAAAATACAGAACATTTTTGTGTGTACAATCTACAAATACCCCACAATGCAGAAAAAAATTGCACAGCAATTAAGGGGTGAAACTCAAAAACATCTAGAGTGCAAAATCAACACTCACACACACGCGGACACACACTTGTACACACACACCTATGAACTGGTGTGACTGTAACACTGCAACTATGTAAAATAAAATCAATAATTCAACTACAATGCAGTAAAAAAAAGTAGACAGCAAGGAAGGGGTTACACTCTAAAACATCAAGAGTGTAAAACAGATACATCCACTCACACACACTTACTTACACACACTCACAGACACACACATACAGAATTATACATACTCAAATGAATTGGTATGGCTATAGCCATATAGCCATAAAGAGTCAGAAGACTGAAATAAGAGGTTAAAATCAGATCAGACCCAGAAGGATTAAGCTCTGATAAAGCATTCCTGTTAATTTTTGTTACATGTTTATATAATTTTAATGTTTTGTGAAACAAAATGCTTTCTGTGTTCAGGTTTGAATGTAGTAATAATAATGCAAAAACCTATACTTCAAATCAACATTTAAAACAACAAAAAATATAAACCTTCACAAAAAGTAGTCTTTGAGAATGCCTTAATATACATTTACACCCACAACCTAATAAAAGTAAACAATTATGTATAAAACCAACTATGGAATTCACAAGCCTCTCTATAGAGTCCTATACAGGAATCTAGTGGTTACACCATGAAATTACAGGTTTTTCTTTTTTTTGCTCTCACCAGGAGGTGCTATTCTGCCTTCAAAAAAATGGATTTTAAAG